GCAATACGAAATAACCGCCTTGCCTGTTATATTTGCTATGTAAGATTTTGAAGTTCAGCTCATGTTTTGGGATGACATAATTATCGCTTTCAAAGAGCAACACACAAAATCCTAAATTAAAAGTCATTCGTCATTGGATTATAGGAGAAACAAATAAGACGGTGAAGGTCACAAAAATGATTAATGGCGTTCTGTTCTTACAGAAGAAATGATCATCCTTCTTCAAAGGCCACTCAAAATTATACAAATGTCCTTCCTGACACTTTAGTCAGTTTTTGAACAAAAGTGTATGTGATCTGTAAGGTCTAACTCCAGCCTAGAGATAGTTTGCAAGCGAAGTGGAGCTCCTGCAGGTCAGGGTGACATATTTCCAGTTACTTTAAGGAGTGTCTCATTTGAGTAAGTTATTATGAAGGATTCTCGGTAGAAGTTCTGCATTTTAGATCCAATTGTTATACAATAGTATTATTGACATTGTGGCTGCCATATTTGCTTACAAAATACAGTCAATACACTTCACAGGGAAGTGCTTTGAGCTATCCTCTTGATGTGAAAAGCACGATATCAAATGTAAGTATTATTATTATTAATCACATGTGCTCCAACATTTTTTTTAAAAAAAACTTACAAGCAAAGAAAAGTGCTTGATGTGTTTGCACTACTGGATAGCACAGTATGAGGTGTCTATTGAAGGGCAAAACATGCATCCAAACATATTGCTTCTATTTCCAATCTGGTCTATCAGGAGACAATTTTTCTTCAAAGTTTCTTTGATTTAAACAGTTAAAGGGCTATTATTTTAGGCAATTAGTACAAACATTTCTGAGACAGTATCCCTCCTAACAGTGTTATTACAGACTGACGACGGTATAGATTTGGCAGCACATTTTATATCGAGTTACTTATGTAATATGAATTATAATATTTCTTGTGTTTGTGTGTTTCCAGTCAGAACTGCACATGACGCAGCTCATTAATTAATATATCTGAGGGAAAGGTACACAGAACCATGTCTGATTCAGAAAATCCACCCCCAAAGTCAACTAGGGGGAAATACAAGTTATATCTGAAATAATGGGAGGCGTAAGCTTTCCCATCTCACATTATTTTTTACTGCTGGTTGTGTATTGGTGTCCACTTTAGTACCTTTAAGTGCAATGACTTTAGGCAGAGTCACCTCCTTTGAGACAGCTTTAAATCATTTGTGCTGCTCAAGATAACCAAGGTAACCGAGTACAATGGAGCAAGCAGCATTGTTAAAACATTTATACACCAAGGTGGCAAGATTAAACTGTATTTCCCTTCCAAAATGCCTTGACAGAATGTCAGCAATAAAGCGTTGAATGGCTACATTGTAATCCGGTTGTGTGTTGTCCTCATCATGGTAATAATGGATGGCAATGTTCACAAATGGTGCATTTTTCCACTTTGCACGAGTTGACAGCATAAAGTACTCTTAGGTTAGAGTTAACAGGGCCAGGGTGCATTGTAGAGATTGCGCTATATAACTCACATAATGTACTTAAATCACAACTTAATAAGAGGTGCTCACTCTTATATTGCTTACACTGTCCATCATAATGGCTTCTCAGAGGTAGACTCGGTGACAGTGGTAACAAATCTGAGGCCAGGTTAGACCCACAAGAACCTGGATGGAAACCGATGTGCCTTTTAAATATCATCACATGTAATTTGGAATACTTCTCAATTTCAATGCAATCTCTTTTCAACGGACTGTGAAGTTGCAGCTAAATCAACAAATACTGAGAAACAAATCTGTTTCAAATACTTTCTGATCCCTCTCGGCAATGCTGCTGCTCTGGGTTGTAGAAAAGGTTAACATAAGCCTCGGTTTAATGTCTCACCCAGAGGACAGTGCCTCTGACAATGCAGTACACCCCCAGCACTGTTTTGGAGTGTCAAAAAGTAAAATATGCTGAGGCCCCAAACTCGATCAAGTCTCAGCCTTAATTTGGACACCAGTTCGTTGTAAGAACTCTGGAAAATCAAATTGTAAATCAAGTGTGAATTCAGAATTTTCTATAACTTTAAATTTTAACTCAAAATGGATCCAACAGTCCAAAATTACGTAGAATTTCAGTCTTCTGGTTGCTTTCTATATACTAATGCACTTCCCATAATTCCCTGTAAATCAAATTGCATAACAAATTAAACAGTTTACACATGTCTTAAAAAGAATTGTGTTATGACAGATATAAGATTGCTTTTTGTACTTAATCCCCCTCTATGAATGAAAATGAGTGAACTGCCTAATCCTAACTCGCTATAAAACAGTGAAATGTTCTGTCCGAGTTGGTTGTCGGCTCAAAGGGACAATATTATAATATCTTGCACTCTCAAGCCTTTGTACTATTATTACTGTTATTTTAAATTATGAAACGCCTATCAGGAGTATTTAAAGTGTCTGGATCTAATTGCTTCCTATCCAGGTATTTAAGTATGTTTTGCATACAAAAGCAAAACAACATAACAACACTTACAAAGCGGGAACCACAAATAAAATCCAAAGGCTCCATTAAACAATACGTTATAAATCTGTGAAGAATAATGGGAGTTGATACCAGCTAAATTAATACTGTATAACTTTGTTCTCAATCAAGCACAATTACGTGAGCGGAAACATTGAGGGTGGGTACTAAGGTCTATAGATTTGATTGTGTTACCTTAGGAATAAATATCCTTGAGCCATAGAACATCCACTGTGGAAAAACAATTATATTTTTTGCCGACTCTTAATTTTTTTTAAAAGTATAAAAAGTTGCATGAATACAAGCCCGGGTTGCTTCTAACACTATCTGCTTACTAATTGCGATATGCAACATGTTAATTATTGTCAAAGCAAAACAACATGGGGAATGGGGCAATCATCTGTACGTCAGCACATGGGATGTTGGAATAATTCAACAGGTAAATCAGAGTTAGACCTTTACACTTGTATCCCACAAACTTAAAAAATTTAAAAAATTACAAATTGGTAATCAATGTGCCAAAATATAATGGTCTTAAAGCCCAATTATTCTCATTACATCAGTCAACACTATTTGATATTGGTGATTTTTAAACTTCTGTAATATTAAAATAAATAATTATGCAGTGAAGCTACACAGTCAAAACACAGTTTTGCAAGTTGTTAACGTTTTGAGCACAAAAATAGTAATAAGACAACTGCAGAAGGCTACCTGAAAGCTATGCTTGTCTGTCAAATTGCTTTCGCTATTGGTGCATGATGAATGACTAACTGAATGAAGACAATCCAGTAAGAAAAACTGCCTACATATTATTTTCACACTCAGACTTATCAAGGATAAGAAATTTCCAAAAATCTCAACAGCAACTTCATCCAGAAATCATTGTAGGCCCGAGATTTGTTTTGCGAAGCATTGGCTCAAACAATCTTTAGCCACTTGTTTGTATGTATATAAATTGCAATTTGATTCTCTGTGCTGTAAAGGCCAGCGACAAACCTATTCAATTTTTGCACCATCCAATATTCGCGATGCTGATTCACTTTCGAACATGACTTCCCCTATTGTGTCCCTGACAATGTTCTTTCAGGCAGAAATAGGAATATTCTATTTTGTAGTCTGTGGCAACCAAGGCAGCAAAGATCCCTTTTGGCATGTGGCAGTGTAAGTGCTGTGATCCAAATAGAAAACCTGAACGTGGGCACTGGAGTGTGATATGGAAATCCATTAGTGGCTCAGTTCAAATGACCTGAAGTGGAGTAAAAATAATTCTAGGGAAATCAAAACACTTCCACCACAGTTTATAAAGTCAATGGACTTGAGGTCAGCTGAAAGATTAGTAGAAAAAGCACTGAATGGATCATTATATTATAACTACTGAGTCTTAAACATAGATGTCATGAAGCAAATATCTTCTATGAACGTTCAAACCAATTTTCTCTGAATCCTAAGCTACAAGTAAATACCTCTGACAGCTTAAATAGTGCGCCCTTGCCATTCTCTCTATATTGCTTTAAAAAACAATCTGATTTGGGTGGGGGAAATTATCTGTAATATATTTCTTTAAATCAGACATTGGTTCCTTCCATTAAATATGTTTAACTTTGCTAAATAGTATTAGAATCACCCATTTGTTTATAAGTGGATAGTTTGCCTTTTTTTATGCACTAAATTCTTATTAACATATTGAATGGTCACGTGAAGTAAGACAATTGAAAACGGACTATTGAGAGGTACCAGATAGAGGGCTTTAAAATTATGAAAGGATTCAATAAAGTGGACATTAATGGACCGTGTCTGCTTGTTGGTGAGCCCCAAATGAAGTTTGTATGCCTTCAACCAAAAGTACATGCACTGTAGTCAGCGAAGAAACAAATCAGTTCTGAAACATTCGGATAAATATAATTCCTTGATATTTTACTATTATTATTGAACAGCTCAATAAAACTGCAACTATAGCCTTCGTTGTGTTCCACAAATAAAATCCCCAAGGTACATTTTAGAGCAGCTTATTCAATGAAACTCAATGGTAAACAACTCATTCACATCCCAGAAGGATCTCACTGCATTTTTTATGAATGGAGAGACTTATCAACCTGAGTGTTAGAGACGGGCAGTTATCATTCACCACTCCTTCCAGCTTTTACCTTGTGATTGATATGTTGATAGGCTCAGACACGATTACAGCCACAGAAATATATCACGTTAGCTGCAAATCTGGAAACAATAGTCTGATACGTACAGAGGAGTTAAGTGACAATTCTAGACAGATGGAGCTGTGTGAAAGAAAATCAGTCTGACTCTTCTCAATAAAGAGGTAGAGTTTTTTTAACAGCATATGCAGTTTCTATTGATCTGATGAAAATTGCTAACGCTTCTCAAATGCTTCAATTATAAGGATGAGAATGTTTCACTTGTTTGCTGATGATGACTGCATGTTCAGACAATGTTGCCTATGGATTTATTTCATTCATAGCTTCGAACAAATTGCCACCATCAGAGAATAAGACTCACATTTTGAATGGCCTGTAACTGAGGTCACTCATTGTATTATAGATGTCAGAGTCTGTGTTCAGGTTCAGCAATTCAGCTGATGGTTGAGTGACTCCAGGGTCCATTTTCAGGCTTGTTGTGGTGACCAAAATGTAATTGATCACATTCTCTTCTGCAGGAGAGAAGGAGAAACACTTTTAAGAAGAAGAAATTCATAGATGCTTCCTCAATGAAAAGGAACATGAATCAAACATATCATTAGGTAATCGAGTCCCTACAGAACAGGATCAAATTCACCACAGTTACTACACTTTACCGAAAAAAAGCATCTTGAGATGTTTCAACTATGTGACAAGGCCCTATAATGGATGCAAGATTATTATAATCTCTCATTGTCGAGATCCAACCTACAATGATAAATGTCCATTGTCCTTTTCAAAAAAATAGAGACAAGTTGAAGAATGGTTGGAAGCCCTGTTTTATATTAAAGCAATCCAGATCTCTTAGGGACAATTTCATATCATGTGATTGAGCTGACATCCTTCAAGGTCTTGTCAATTCCTTTACACTCTTCCCCTCCCATTCCTTGTGATTTGCAGTCAGAGCCTAATCAACTCCCACTTAGTTGCAGCTTATCTTAATAGGGAAAAAAAATTCTCAGGGATGTTATAAAAACAGACAGAGCAGATTTCAGGAAAAAAATCCATCTTAAATTGCTCCTTGGTGGAACGTGCAGTGGGAAGAACATTAACCAACATGATCCATGTGACCCATCAGCATTTGAACCAGCAAATCACCCCAACATTGGTCAGTATCCTGAAGTCTGTCTCAGTGAATGCAAGACTGAACCAAACGCATGAGGCAACAGCGTCTGTTCGTTACTGTCCTGTGATTAGATCACTGTTGCCTAATTGACTGCCGGGTTTCACCCACAAACTATACAGTGAATTCACTTTACGACATATTCTGTGAAGCGCTTTGAAGAAGTGATAATCCGCAACATCATATGCGAGGATTCTTAGTATTATTATTAGATCAGGTTTTGTATGCACTGGGTTTTAAGATGAAACTTAACAGGTACATTCAGAAGGAAACTTAACAGGGTCATCATACTGATCATGTTATCTCATGAGACAGAATTATAAACTTTTTTCCAAAAAGGGTATCAGAATAAAAGTACTTCCATTGTACTAGGTTCTTCCTTCCCCCCCTCAAAACCATGCAAACAAGGGAGCTTTATGTACACACTTCTGATGTTGCTTAAAACATATTACTATTTAAGATTTCTTAAAAAAAGAATGTTTCCAATTCCGACAATTAAAATATTTTCAGGACAATGCTGTTCTGTTATACATTCGCTTGCAGTAAGCCCCAGGTGTACAAGGTACTGCGGAAGGTTGGAAAGAAGGTTATTGAAATTTAAAGCCTCACTAAAAACGGAACCATCACATCCCACGTGGATTGAGAAATTAGGACATAACAGACATTTGATAGCAGATTGTCTGACTAATTGGATTTCTATCAACTCTGTATGTATAGGCTGATAAAGCATTTGCATTCAAGAAGCATAATTGCAAAAGCACTCCTATGTAAATCCAAGCCATCTTTAGGCCTGTATAGAAATTTGTTGCACGTAGAAAGATTATTTGCTTTTACTGGGTTGAGGTAGTTAGTTGTCACATTGGGGGAGTTGTGTTGCTGGCCAGATGGCAATTTGACTAATTGATGTGCAAGACTCCACATCTTTGTACAGTAAGGGATCAATCTAGCCATAAAACAAAACACTTCTGCCATTAGAATTGCTGGGTTTGTAGAGATTCCTTTGAGCTTTCAAAATAGGAACGTAAATAGACTCACTGAAAGAAACTTGCCTTTAATCCAGACTTTCAGGGCCTCTTTGTCTCGTCCTGACTCAAGATATGATGCTCATTAATGTTATGTGTGGAGGATCCAGAGCAGGAAGACTCAATTCTACTTCCCATTCTGCATAGCATCAAAGCACAACCAAAGTAAACCAACGCAGCACATTTTGATGCTCTGCAAATCCATAGCTTTTGGCAGTCTTGTTAAAGAGCCAGTTTGGCCATCAGAGTTTAATATTTTTTTAAAATCAGTTCTTATTGGGAGCTCACAGTGATTTTGACAGTGTCAAATGTACATATTGATAGCTTAAGGAATAGCTTAAGCCAGAGGTAGACACTAAAAAACAGTGCAATATTGTTTATATATGAAGAGAGATAGAAGCAAGCTACCAATCTGTGAATATCTAAAATGATAGCAATCGTTGCCTTTGGTATAGCATTTTGTTGAAGTGTCTGAAAGCTCTTCACATTAGTTGTTGTGAAGTGTCGTGACTGTGCATTTGTACGTGTATGTAGCAACCAGTTTACACACAGTAATCTTCCAACGTACGGTCATAAAGTGAATGACCAATTTATCTAGAGGATGTAAAAACAGAAGACGCTGGGAACACTCAGCAATACATCGTGATACAATCATGCACATTCATTCAGCACCTCAGAACACCATTGCACCCTGTCCAATAAGACAGCACTATTAGGTGCTATCTCTCCGAGGTGACATTGCTAAGCATACAGTAGTTGCCCTCTTCAAATTAAAAACATAAACAGGGGTGTTGCTCAGTTTGTAAAGTGCTTTGTGGGGGCTATTTGGAGATGGGTTCGATTTGAAAAGCCACCTTCAGATGCTCAAAGAAAGCAACGTCTTTAACAGAATTCATTCACTGTATCATTGAGCTATTTTTTCCTCCAGCCCCTCTAGGCTTTCCTGATCAGGTTAGGGCCCTGTTGTCCTCTCCCTTTTCCTTTTTACCATGTAATAACGTGAGCCCTGAATGGCTGTGAGCATCGTGTACTTGTCGAGTCTTCTTTCATTTTCAAAGCAGATGGCCAATGTAGCAGCAGAGGTCTGCAGATCTTTGCCAGTACATATTCGGATATGCACCTCCCTCCCAATGCCAAGCATGAGCAGAATACTAATGAGCCAGCAGGGCAGAAATTCAGTCATTAGTCGCATTGCCCCAGCATGAGACTGCAGAGACTAGCACAGAACAGAGGACGGTCAGTGTGAAACTCAGAGGAGAGATCATGCCTCGAGAGCAATGTTTTGTGTACCCTTTGTCTTTTTTTAAAAAAGAAAAAAAAGGAAGGGAGAGAAAAAAAAAGTTCTCAAAGGGAGGTTCGTTCATGCATGGACGGGTCGGTAAAACGCTAAAAAGGCTTGGAAAAACCTACAGCCATTTCGAGTGATGCAGTATAACCTCCATCTGAGCCACTGCAGTCATATCACACCCAAAAGGCAGCAGCACTACCAACTTAGCGTTGCCAGGGAAACCAAAAAGAATGATGTTCAGTGAAGCTGACACTGTCCCAAAGTGTTGGGAGCACATGCTGGGTTGCGCTGAATTACTCTTGGCAGCAGAGGGCAGCAAGACTCGCAAGCACCAACCGGCCGACCGGCAGGAATAAGACCCATTTTTTTTTGGCTTGCAAGGAAGGAATTCCTAATGACAAACCGCCCCAGGTGTTAAAGCTGTTGTCAGTGCGAGCTCGTTCGATAATATCAACAATGGCGGTGAAGGGATCGAGCCCCACTGTGAGTTCCCCGGACATCATCATTCCGCGCAGCCCGGCCAAGCGCAGAGCTTTATCGAAGCGGGTTTACTTGAAGCTCGCGCTCGAAACGTCTTCGAGAGAAAGAATGGGGGCGTCCGAAAATATTGGGAACGAACGGCCTCGATCCTTCCTTTTCCATCATTTAACGCAGGTCCTTTCCCAGTCCTTCCACCCACTAAAAAAAAGTGACACCGTTCACTCCGCTTTACGGTATATTTCGTGAAGTCCGTTGAGACGTCTCGAAGACCTGATAAGGCGCCTATATCAAATGCAATGATTATTATTATTAATTATTATTATTATCGGTGCCTCTGTGTCAGCAAGCTTCTTTCTTTGTTTTAGCAGATCTATTGAGTTGTAATTCTATTCTCCTCCTGACCTAACTCATACTCTGGGGTAAGTTCACCCACAGGAGGGAACAATCTATAACCAGGGAAGCTGAGGAACAGCTGCTGACCCCAATCCTCCCACTGATGTCCTGATTGCAGTCAAAATGATTGTGTTGGAGGTCGAGGGGGGAGAAGACAGACAGACGGACACCAGTAAGTTTTTCTTTACCCAAAGAGTAAATAACGACTGGAATACGTTGCCAGGAAGGATGGTTGAGGCTAAGACGCTGGACTCATTTTATATAAAGAAAACAGCTTGATGCTGTGATGGGAAGACAATAGGGTGGGTGTTCTGTATGGATGATCAAATGGGCCAAAAGGATTTCTTCATCCAAACCAATCTCGTGGTGATCTTGTGAAATCTCAGTTCAATAGCCCATGTTGCAACTGGGAAACTTCTCGATACATTTTACATAAATTCACCTTTCACGATAGTTTCTTTTTTTTAAAGAAATATCCCTTAAACATTTTCTTGGCAGACTGGATCATAATAACCCTGTTCTATATATTAACCTAGATCTCATGACATTAGTTGAAAAGAGAAGGGAGTTTCTCGAAGGGTGTCCAGGCAAACAATCCTCCAGATCAAATCGATCACTTACTTCATGCCTGTTTGTAGGATATTGTGGGGTGTAAACTGTTTGCCTTCGAATACGCGGATACAACTCTTTACAGTAAATCCTGTCAAGCACTTTGTAACGTCTTGACAACGTGATCAGGCCTATATCGAATGCATTGCTCATTATTATTTATTATTACTGTATAGTAAATTGCGGTATTTTGAAAAGCAGTTTATCAGATTGAAGGCGTGTGCCTTTCAGGCAAAAGCNAAAAAAAAATACACCAGAAATTGTTTAGTATGATGCTAATCATTCCAGGCTTGCTCATGATTCATCTGCAGAGGAGGCATCCTCTCTCCTCCCCCATGCCTCCCAAATGCTAATCTCACAAGCAAATTGTTTGAAATGAATACTGAATAGCGCACAACAATTCCGTGCTTACTTGGGAAAATGGAAGCTTCTGCATTAGCGAGACAGGATCCCTGAAG